GCGTCCTCGAGAGGACGGAGCATTGTTCCCACAGGACCGATCACCGATGGCCAATCGAGGGGGGGGAGGGGGGGAATAACAGGGCCACACTGCGAGAAAACGTTACAACTGGCTTGGCGTTCGACACCAAGATGTTTGTCAAGCTACGGCGCCACACTGGTGAGCCTCTGTGCCTTGAGCGCAAGCCGATCACCTCCTTTTCGTAGGCCGAACCATTTTGGAGCGATTTCGGCGGTGACAGGGGTGGGGAATAGAGGGGGGGGAAGGGAGTGCTACCGCATCATAAATATCGGTACAAGGGGTGCTGAAATGGCACCACAAACAGAGGTTTTCTTGCCGCGGCTGCGAATACCCGACACGGGAAAAAACTCGGCAAAAAGTGACGCCAGTGCAAGCAGTACGAGGGGTTTTCAGGGAGGATACAACGACAGGGCGAGGGGCAGCACAGGTGGCACAACAACGCCGGCAAAAAGCGGCGAACAACGATTCATCACAGAGCGAAACGAAGGAAACGCCAAGCCGCTCGAGGGGCAGGCAGCGATAGGAAACGTCAAGGTGGCTGCCATCCCGGAGAGAAAATGGAATAACTGCGAGGATAACGCGGAAGGAAGCACATACTCACGGGAAGGAAAGCAAGCACTCACTTGTCCATTTCTTCTTTCCACTTCTTCACTCCCCAATAATCCAGGTCTTTCCCCACGTAAGGCCCTTCATCCAGGAACCAAAAAACAGTTTTGACCACATACAAAGGGGTTCGGCAGACAGCCACAGACAAACAGGTGAAGGGGAAACAAAACGTCGGCAACACACAACGGAACAGCCATGGGTCGGGGAGGGTCGGGGGGGGGTTGGGACTGGGGGCACAGTGGTTGCCACGCGAAGCGGGGTCAGGGGTTGTGACGCATGGCCGTTAAACGAGGGCATTCCGACAAGTCTCTGAATCCCTGCAAGTCCGGGATGGAACGCGTTGGGTAGTGGTCCACAAGGCAGTCAGGCAAGGCCCAGGTCGCAAATCACCATCTTCTGTTCTGCGACACGCGGACGATGGAGCCTTGAAAGATTTCGCCGTTCGGTGGTGCATCATTGCCAGAGGGAAAGGGAGAGAGAGGGAGAAAGAGAGCAGCGCAACTTACCGCACTCAGGTATTTTTCAGCACAGAGTGCGGGAAGGGAAGGGTGGAATTACGCGGCCAGAACATTGGCGAAGCGAAGTGCCCTGCCCCCGCACCCCATCGCTGTCCCCGCCACACAAACATACTACCATATATATATGGTATATATTGTAGCCGAAAAAAGTCAAGCAGCCATACAATCTCTGCGACCACACAGGTGATACTTTGGTCTCGAGAGCTGCAGACTTCACACGGAGCAACAGTAAACACATTTGATGCCAGCGGCAACGGTGCAGCCTTTTCTCCCGTTCAGTCTTTGCACGTCTGGAGGCTGAGGGCGGAGAGTAAAGCTGGCTGAAAAACGACTCTTCTCTGCTTCGGCGACAATCTGCTGTCCTTGTGGGGAGGATGAGATGATACCCCAGAAGGGGCTCCGCGGGTCAAAATTGCCGTGTGGACCAAGACAAATCGGTTTTGAGTGAGTGCCGTATCCTTCCCTTCGATAGGAGACATTTGCGGGTCAGTGCTTGCAATGCCAAACCAAAAACGCAGGAAAGAAACAAAGAGAACAACGGAAGGAACACTGGCCAGAAGTTTTTTTTTTTTTTGTCTTGAAATCAAATCAGCGCTCGCAGCACTTGTGCCGGTTACTCCAACCCGTGGTCACACAAAAGGGTCCCTCTCCCTGAGGCCCCCTACCCATCCCTCCTGCGGTCCTTTTTGCCTTCGATTGCTAATGCGAGAAGAGTGCAGCGCTTCATCCCTCCGTTTACACACGAACAAGCACTTTCCACCCAGGCCACGAGCCGCTTGACTGGACAAAAACATGATCGTGGTAGAATAGCATATCAGGCAGACGATTCGAGCCGAATTTATCCACTCACCGCACCGCACCCCCGTGAAGATCTGCGCGCTCTTGGCCTGCTGGAAAACCAGCTCCTGCGTGGGGCAGAGGAAGATGCACCACTTGTGGTTCTTGGACTCCCTCCGACGGGCGTCCTCAAAGTAGAAGTCGCGGATGAGCATCAGGGATACCAGGGTCTACCAGAAGTAGCAGCAGCGCGTGCAGCAAGTATGTCGAGGGCGGTACCGAAGGTGTGGAGTGTTGGGCCGTCACGTCAAAAACATCGGAGCACGGAAGAGAGGTACCAGGGACATCAGGGAAAAATCAGCCGGCAGCGAGTAGTTGTAAACAACCGACTGGCGGGGTACGGTCATTGCTACGCTGGCGAAAAAAGTACAGAACCAAGGAATTGCACAGCAGTCAACTACTGCAAGTGCATTCCTGCTGGTATTCCTCTCAAGTACAGCCGAGTCCTTGACAAAAGGTTGATGCACGTGTTGTACGCAACCATTGCACGGGGCTATGTGGAGTCGTGGGACAAGCTAGCCTTCTCTGTACCGGAAGCGCCTCGCTGGAGGTTCCCTCGCTAAAGAAGTAAAGACGTTGAAGTATGTGAACAGTCCGGGGGGGCTAAAGAACAACCACGAGGGCTACAGTCATGGCCGTCAACCTCTTGCTGCGGGCAAGAACGACGGCATTTTTCCAAACGAAACTCTCGGGTTAAATCATCTCGAGGAGAGGAACATGCATCCCTGAGTGAACATTTTTCGATAATCCTCCGGTTACAGATGGCTGATGACAAAAACTCTACAAGGTATCGATGGAAGGGCACTTCTCAAGCGTGTCAGCAGCCGGGTGCTGCCAGCAAGTCAACATGGATCGGTGACGCCTGGATTGCTGTAGAAGAACGATCGATGACGATTTGGGGTAAACTACGACGATTTGGTATCTGGCCAACAGCAGTGGCGATGCACCTGCAGCCCTCTTTTTGAGCGTGCCTCTGATTGCAAGCTCTGGCGGGTTCGGCACCACCAGGACGACCTATGCAAACGAAGGCATCACAGAAGGCAATCTTACCGCAGCCCGGCCCATGTAGACTATACCTCGTGAAAGAACGTCAGGCCTTTCCCGAGCCTGGGCTCGTCGTTCAAGGGCCCCTCTACAAGGAATCCTCTCGCTCGCGATGTTTCCCTTCAAGGAGATAGGCATTTCTTTTCATCAACATGGCAAGACCACCGCGTCTACGCATTGTCACGATGTTGCCCTGGTCGTTAACCATGTGGTATGTTGGCAATACTGTACGCATGATATGCTGTTGCTGCTGTACAAGAGCCAGCGGAGGTACCGTGGGTGTTCTCTATCCTCACCTTGCCGACGCCGGTTGCCCCGACCATGACCACATTCGCCTTCCTTGCTGCATCGAAAGCCTCGGCCTGATACGGTCTGGGCTCCATGCTACACCGCTGCAGCGGCTACCGCTGAAAAAGAGCAGGTATTAGCCATGGGCGGGGGTGCGTGATGATGTTGGAGGAGAACAAGCCCGCTCCACATGTTGTACCCGTGTCCCACGACGATAATTTTCTGCACGCAATGATGCCGGCTGGACTCAGCGCGCCTTGCAGTCGAGATACTACACATAAGACGGCAATGTCTACCTGGTAGGATGCCGACGCTGTTGTGCACCGTACCTGCCCAGGCACTCGCCCGCGTCGCGAGACTCGCAGGATCCTGCCGCACACTTGCTTTGTTTTACTTGCGGCCGTTGTTGCTTTCCCGGCTGCTGGTTCATGCGCTTTCGCCCACCAACCCCCCTTTAGGCGGCACAAGAGCACTATCCCGTGGAGTTCCGCCTCAACCCCACGCGCTCGCCGCCGTCCCCGTCTCTGCCGCGAGGTCGTGGGCGTCCCTGTTTCCTGTCCATGTTATGCAACCGGGCGCATAGCCATCTACGGAGATCACACACCTCCGCGGCCCCCCCACCTCCCCCTCGCCCAAGGGGTTCCGTAGTTCTCAATACATGTGTCGGCCGGCACCGCACCACTACCGCAGACCGACGAACTGTTTTGGAGAGAGTTGGCAAGGCCGAGCACCATGAGGACCTCCGCCACTTCGTTCATTGCAGCAGGTTCGCTTGCCTGCTTGTCCTCCGCGAGCGCTTTCCTCTTCCCTTCTGCGGCCGTAGACCTCCGTTCAGCAGCGCCGACAAGCGTTGCTTCGCAGAGCATCAGCCGCAGCAGCAGCGGCAGACGCGCGGTGATTCTGTTCGCCGAGAAGGAGGACGGGGCCGAGGAGCAAGAGCCTATGGATCTCGACTTGGAACAGATGTTCGAGGTATAGAGGCCTATTTATGTGGTCTGTGCGGTAGCGTAGGATATACTGAGCAGAGAGAACACAGCAGTGCAACGTTCAATCAGGTGGGCACTGCTGCTGCAGTTGTCGCGTGCGTGCTGCACGCGTCAAACGTTGCGACGCGCTATGTATCTACCCTCATGCTACATCGGAATCGAGTGGGGGATAATCTCCGTATCACCTGGCCGGCTTTCCAGTTGCTGATACCTATCCAGGTGCGTGATTCAACGCAAGTACCAAGTGCGCGAAATACGTCCAAACTTTCAGCAGCTTACTGTAGTCTAGACGAAGAGACTAATACATATCATGTCACGTCCAGGACCGCGTAGAGTGCGGACGGCGGTCTTTGATCGAGGACAGAATCTTTCTGGAGTCAGAATCTTAAAATTGTCCATGGCCAAGATTCGCCCGAAAACTTTTTGTTTTCGCTGTATCGACTACACCAATGAGGGCCAACTTCTTGCCCTTTCCAACAAATCTTGGCGCAAGATTAGAGATTTTGCCGCAAGAACGACCTTGGTGGGTGCGGCGAGATTGCAAGGACTTGTAAGCTTCGGTCAAAACCTAATCGGCCATAATGTTGTAAAACCTGCAATGACGAGCGTTTTTGTAGGAGTTTGGCGGCGCCAGGTAAGTAACAGTTGCCTCAGGAGAATGCTAGACACTGATCTGATGAGCTGAGCTACTACTGCTGTAGCACATGTATTGTACAAAAACACCTACCGGAATCCAGACCCTTGCCCTTTCATCCCATCTCCCTCACCGATCTCCTTACGAGGTAGCCAGCTGACAAAGAAGGCGTGGTCGAGATAATAACCCGTTCGAAAGGTTTTGGAGAAGGCTTCACAGTAAGGGTTCGGGGACACCTGCCGGACACTTTTTTGTCTTACTACAAGACTGACGCATTTCCATTTGGTCAGCCGGTGTCGACGCTGAGTAAAGATGCGCGCATACCCCACCAACGCCTGCGTACATTTCAACTGAAAATCAGAGAGTGTTTTCGGAGACACCCCTTTGACCAAGCTCATCAGCATTGAACGAGCCAACACGTTGTCGGTGCGGCGTCCGGTATCCTTTGCGAAATTGATAAAAAAACACTGACCCCTGTGTCTATCAATAGAGTCCCTCCCTTCGAAATCCAAGAGCCGTTGTTCGGAGCCACTAAGCTGGAAAACTAAGACTCGCACCGCGCGCTCTACCCCATGCAGTTTCCCTCCCCATCTCGTATGGCTTTGATTTTGGAGGTTGTGCACAGGGGACTAGCGACGCCACTGACGAGGTACTACCGACCTTTCTTCACACTCACTGAAAACCAGTGGACTGATGTTTTTTTCGTTCTTTTTTCCACCTCGAAGGCCGTCTGCAGAATTTCGGAGGATCATGGGCTATGCGATCTTGATTCTATGCTACAAGACGTGTCTGTTTCTTATCGTTTGGCACTCCTGCGAATGATGTCCGGTCCCCTCCCGACTTAAAGTCTAGCCTCACAGTTCAACCATGCCCCCGCTTTCTTCCCCGCTCTCCTTACACCGATGGAGCGACGTATATCTCGACGCTCAGCACAACCGTTGTTGTTCAACGTATAATTTATATGGGGATGCGGGGGTCATGATCCTCTAGCACACGTTTTCCCGTGTGCTCAATCATGCGCACGATACATAACCTACAATCTTATCTTTCTGGCTGGGGTTCATGATCCTCAAACATACGTTTACCGTGTACAGAAGTGGTTCCGGTAAATTTCCGGTGCGATCCAGCCGATTTCACCGGCATTGTGCGATCCAGCCGACTTCACCAGCATAACAGCGGGCAACCGCGCACTATTCAGAGTATGAAAAAACTCGAATATTCCATCTGTGCCAGACGATTTCACCGGCAGTGTACAGGAAGAGCGGTATTATTCCACCGGCATTACGGGGATCCACTACTGTACCTACAACGTCACGTTTCAAATGTTGTCTTCCCGAAGGTGTTCGAAGCGGCCGACAAGGAAGTATCGGACGAAGAAGTGGGCAAGAAGGGGGGCAAGAAACCAGCAGCCCGGGCGAAAGACCCAGCAGAGGCGATGGGCGACATGCTCAGCAGTTTCTTCGGAGGGGGAGAAAAGAAGTAGACTGTTGGTTTGACGGCTCTGCGCATAGGCTTCGCCGCATTGTTTCGTTTTTGGTCCCACGATGGTGTATACGGACGCATCTGGATTGTCGATGCCTCACTTGTAGGTGGGCGCCAACTGTAGCGCAATCATTTTATTGTAGGTGACTTGCTTGTATGTTGTTGGCCGAGGAGTTCGAGTCCGTGTTTTCATGCCACAAACGGAGTCTCGAGCGAAACGGGATAGGGCGACGATTACTTGTCATGAGGGATAGCGACGGGCAAAAGACAAACCAATTGGATCGATGATTTCGAGCAAATTGGGCAGGAATGGCTAGACCAACGTGCGCTTCGGAGTTTAACCAGTGTACTGTGTGCGTTGGGTTGGAGCAAGTCCTTCGACCTTCTAGAACCGTAGCGGCAAATCGCCAGTCCGATGTGTGGCTGTTGCTACTCGAATGAGTGCTTGATCCCGCAAAACAACTTCTAGTGCTGCTTTCGGCTTGCGTTCAGCGTGCCTACGACGTGGAGCGGCACCGACGGGTGGGGTCGAAGTTTGCGCGGACGAGAATAAAGTAATAATCGTGTTTTTGCTTTCACCACACCCGTGAGTGTTTACCGACCGTACCACCGATAGCGCATGAAGAATGTCCGCGTCGAGCCAAGCATGGTAGAGCGGGCATAGTGTGCGTCTTGCCGTCCATCTATTCTGGACGTCAGCGTTGCAACTTCCACATGTTGGACGTACCGACAGCCTCATACAGGATATGGGATGTTCTTTATTTGGCTGTGGTGCCATCCGTAGGTCCTGAGTCTTCCTGAAATTGGCCACCGCGGTCTTAATCATTTTTCTTTTTCTCAGTTTTTGTCAAGTAGACGGATGGCGTAAGAAATTGGACCCAGCCGTCGGCACCACATGATACCCTGCGTGGTGTGTTTGTTCGTCCAATGCATTCTAACGCCGGTCTATGCACCGTTCGGTGTATGTCTCTGACGAATTAGCCGGGTTCACACAGCATATGTCAACCAGGGCCGAGGCCCGGACAGCGCCACCTATTGTCAACCAGTATCGGTTCACCCGTTGAGCCTGTAGCCGCGCACGGATGCGAGGACTATCTCTCCTCGTCGGTGTTTTGTGTACCGCCCCACCTCCCTCTGCCTATTGAGTTTTTATCGCGAGAAGGTTTTACCTGCCCTCCATGATCGCGAGTGACTCGTTTCTACCGCACATTTCAAAGTTCTGGCTTTCATCCGCAGAGACAACCGAATTCACACACTGCTACAAGTAGGTCACGAGGTTCATCACCAGGCCACCGGCGACCGGGACCGGTTGACGGCGGTTTAGCAAAAAACTGTGCTCTCAGTCGTAGCCTAACGCCTAGGGAACGGCCCTCATGCGGAATACATGATGACGGCGAGGTGCTGTAACGTAACAGAAATAGCTAAATATGGCGGTAGAATAAGTTGAAATCACAACGGAGTCGTGTAGGTCCCAGGGAAACAAGAACGCCGACATGGGCGATGTGGTTGACATCATTTGCATGGCGGAGAGAGAAGGACGCCATCGCTTGGACACCAGTTCACCAACGCTCGTTGTGTTTACATGAGAACATGAGTTGTCGTCAGCGGAATACTTGCTGGGAGTGTACCTCGCCATAAATTCAACGCTTTGTGCGAAAAAAACGACTCGCTGTTGCCTTAGAAAGTGTACATGTCCTCCTGTCAGCTACATACATATACCGGAAGGCGTAGACTGGCACCAGAAGACACGACACGACACGACTAAAACACAACAAAGTCAATTTGATTTCACTTCAAATCGATTTGATTTCACTCGGACAGGGACCCTCATGAGTGTGACAGTGGCGACTTGTCCTTCACTGGCGACCTGAGAAAATTAACATCCTCGTCATGCTGCTGTGTGGCATTCTCGCCTTCTTCCTTCCCTTCAACGTGCCGATTGCCCAAGCTCGCCCATTCGGAGACGGGGATGCCTGGATCCGTGCCGGCGCGGACATCTCCGCCGGGGCTACCTTGACCGGCGGCGGAACTCTGACACTTGAAATCGATTTGATTGGACTTGAAATCGATTTGATTTCACTCATAAACGGACCCGAATGAGTGGTACACCCTGAGGTGTGAACTGGCGTTCGGGATCTTTTAACCACGCACAGCGGACCGATCAAGAAGACTAGCGGGAATCCTGTAGCATGCTTTCATTGACACATCAACCCTGGTTCGGCGCCCACAAACGTCCGCTCGGATTCTCGGAAAAAATTGGGAAGATCTGCCCTTGTTTCTCTACCGTACCCACGCGGACGATTTTCGCTACATAACCGGCGAGAGAATCAAGTCCATCTACGCCATGATTGGTTGCAACCGCGAGCGCATTTCGTAGCTGGGGCGCACAACACCTACTCTGACTCGATCGTTCTGGAATATTTCAAGCCTTCCTCGTGAGAGCCATGCTGACAAAGTCATGCCGCTCTGAGAACTTCCAGGACAGCGTGGTCTCGGAGCGTTTCATGGTATTGTTGCGTTGCCCTCCACGGGGACCCTATTAACATTGTGTTGGATTATGTTCATCTCCACTACCGGTGCATCAACGATCCTAAATTAACACTTCGACCGTTACATACGTCCTGCGCTATACAGTACTGCCCATACCACAAAAAAGGCATGGATACGACGACTCTACGGCGACCAGAAGCAAGCAACCGTACACGTCCACGTCGAGAACATTGGTCTACGATCGGAGAAGCCTTGAACACAAGGACAAGCAACGTTGATGGCTCTCACGTACATCGGACTCAATATTTAGCATTTGAGGATGGACACGATACCCAGACCCACACGTAAGGGATCTCGACTAGCATTTTACTGCTGTCCCAGGGTGAACTCTCTTCCAGGACAACAAACACATGTGGCTGGGCAAGGGTCAGACAAAGCAGCAGGCGAACTCGACCATGGCACGCTCCCTCCCGGTGAGACGGGGAAGCACGCCCCCTCCTCCGGCGAGACTAAACGCAGCGGCAGCACATAAGGAGCTGCGACAGATCCGTCTCGTCGGACGCCTCGATGCTCCCGGGGTCCTGGGTAGCCGCACGACATGGGTCGGGCGCCAGACATAGTAGGAAGGACGGTGGGAAAGGGGGCGGGCGGGACGGGTGCCCAAGCGCAAGGCAACTTCATGGCCCGCCGATCGCTACCGGGTAACACAAATGTCCCGAATCGTTTGTTGTCTGCCCCGACTACAAATGTGCACGAGGCAACGTCTGTGGGTCTGGATACCAACTCTCCGCGATCCACCTCATAAAACAATCGATTGCTCACCTGTTTTTGCCGCAAGTCCGCCTTTTTCGAAGCCCTCGCGCGGAAGGTATCGGTTTTCAATATCCGTTTCACAGTTGCATTCGTCCACGCGATGCGGCGCACGCAGACGAGGGTCTAGTGCTGCCAACATTAGACTCTTATGTCGATTGCGGGAGCAATAGACCCCCGTCTGCATGCGCCGCATCGCGTACACCAACGCAACGGTAAAAAGAGCATTCAAGACCGACACCTTCCTCGTGACGCCTAGAGAAACGGCGGTCTATGTTCGATTGCTCGCCTCACGCGGAAAAGGCGATGGTCTTCATCACTCGCTTCACAAGTCGGCATTCCATGACGCGGCGGTGAATGCAGACAATGGTCAAGTGCTGGCAGCACTGGACCCTATTCCCATTGCTGCACCGATAGACCCTTCGTCGGCATTTGCCGCGTCGAAATAGCCATCCGAACCGTGAGAGCGGGCAATGAACACCGATACCGTCTTGGGGTTTCGGAAACGGCGTTTTGTTCTCGATTGATCACAACTCTTTACCCCAAATCCCGCTGTCTCACGAACCCTCACGCGGGAAGCCGTCGGCCTTCGTTTCCAGCTCCACAGCAGTTCCAACAGCCGACACGATGCGATGCGATGCTCATCGACCAGCGTCTATCGCTGCACAGCCATAGGTCACCTGTTGCTGCAGCAATAACACCAATGACTGCAGCAACGGAACGCTCGACGATGAGCATCGCATCGTGTCGGCTGTCCGAACTGCTGTGGAGCGGGAAACGAACACCAACCGTCCGCGCGTTGGTTTTGGGAAACGGCGCTTGCCGGTGAAAGGAGAGGTGAGCGTGAGCAGTTGAACACTGCTGCCGCCTCAAGGCTACGTCATGCTCCTCATAAAAAAGATAGGAGCCAAAAAGGAAGGGCATCTCGCAAAAATAAACAAACAACTTGAACGTAGAGTTGTGGATTTGCACAAATGGAGTTTGACAAGTAGTGTATTTTCAATACGAAGTACTTGACATATTGGACTGTAGATCGAAAATTCAAAATGTGCCCAGTCTCAACCCTCCGTGTTTTGGCCTAGTAGGTCCATGCCAGGTAAAATCAGCTTGATGCGCGTTCAATCCGGTTGTTCATCGGGGGAACACACGTGCAGAACGCCGGCGTTTTCGTACCATTCGGGCTGCTCCATGCATCTACATACAGAAGAGGTCCCTGTTTAGTGCCGGTTGCCGCTATAGTGCCGGTGTTTTCGGCTCGCACACACTGGAATACCAAGTGGTTCTGTAATTCGAATTGTGCCGGTGTCCGGTTTAGTGCCGGTGAAAAGTCAGCGCACATCCCGGCACTAAATAGGGACCTCTACTGCATCTACATATAGTCCACAGGAAAACCTGCAGAGTCGTCTTTGGTTGCCTGCTGCTGCTGTCAAAGCATGCGACTCCACTAGCACATCATATCGGCAGGCTCTGGCGGCTTCCAGCGGTGTGGTCGTTGTGTTGAGCTGTCGCTGTCGGCAACTGGAGCGCGTGTTGCTGGCCTTGTTCACCAAATATTATCTTCGGAAAGAGTGTGCTCGTAATGTAAACTTCAAGCAACTAGATCTCGCGCTAGAGGCCTGAACTGATCAGCGGCACAGTTGTAACAAACGGGGTTGCCCAACCTCGTACGGTTGTTAAAAAAAAAATGTCGAGGGTTTATGTCTTTGACGGCTAGAGGGGAGGGTTGGGAGTTTACGGCAGTCGGGGGGCGGTACCGCCAAGTAATTTCTCATCTACAACGTTGTCCTGTGACTAAAAAAAAAGTTAAAGAAAATATTTCACGGGGCCCCGGGACAGCTGAGGACGGCGACCTCTCCGCTGGAGCCGGACGTTCCGTTAATCCGGGCCACGAGAAAGCCACACCCAAAACGCGACATACACCGAAACCCGTAATGCGTCCCGTTCCATTAATTTCCACAACGAGAGAACAACGCCAAAAACGCGACAGGCGTCGGAAGCCTCCAACGACGCACCTCCAGGAAATCGCCGAGTTGGGAGCCTTTGAGGAGATTTGAGGAAAACACCTTGGGTCGAAGGCGGGTCACCTGCATATTATTATTAGCACGGAATGCAGTCAAACACGACCGTGTTCATCATGCATGTGATTCAAACCGAACCAGAGTCACCGTAGTCTTCGGTGCTTGCTCATGCGCGCCTGTAAACATCAACTGAAATCACGGGGATTTGCTGGTCTTCACTTCAAATCAGCGCTTGCAGCACTTGTGCCGTTTACTCCAACCCGTGGTCATTCATAAGGGTTTACCCCTACCCACCCCTCCTGTGGTATTGTACTGTGCCTGAGGGGGGGGGGAGGTGTACTCGTAGTCGTGCATGCCGTAGTCGTTANTGTGTAACTGCCTCGAGGGTGCTTGACCATTTTAACACAACGTGGTGCGATCATCCCCCTTGCGCGGAGTGAGGCTTCTCCACCCCGCACAACATGATCTACTCGACCACCATTATGGTTACCGCCAAGAAAAAAAAAAAGGCAACCTGGTGGCCGAGTTCACGGAAGTGAATTGGCCTGTATTGCAACGTCGTTGCCAAGCGACGAAAACCCAACCCCGACGGCAAACACCGGAGGCGGGGGGTGCCTGAGGGGGTTATTATCTCCGCCGGATGTACCGGAGTGGTGCTAATGCGGAAAAAAACTCCTCACTGCGTATGCCGACGACCAACCGAGCCGCGCAACACGGGTCTTCCACGATACCCCCAATAGAAAAGCAGTGCCATTTTTATCTCCTTGCACACGGAACATGAAGCGCTTTCCTTTCCTGCATGCAATCGACGAGCGGTGCTGCACTGGCAGGACCCAGCTACTCCCTGCGGCCCAACCAGCGCGACGTCACACAAGGGCCGGTTCATACAGTGATTTTGCTTCCTTTTCCAAGTTTCCAAATCCGTAGACCGTTGAACCTCGATTTGCGGCCGAGGAAAAAAATTGGAAACTACTGGCAGCACCGAAAAAATTGGAAATAGCTCGTTCCAATATGTTTGAAAAAAGAACGGAAATCTGGATAATTGGAACTTGGTAAATTGGAAAATTTGGAAGCAAAACACTGAGTACAAACGGCCCTTAAGGCTTGGCGGCAAAGGCCTGCCGCCGCAGAGTAGCAGTACGCCACACACGCACCTCCTTCCTTACCCACGACGCACCTGAGCCACGGCTATCTGCTGCTCGATGGTTCCCCCCTCGAGGAAAGCGCCCACCACTCTCTCCTTCCGGACCCAGAAAGCCCCGAACGTCCGGGTCGTTCGGAATTCCGCCGCCCCGAGGACCACCACCTCCCCCTCCGCCACGCCGTAGAATCTTCTCGGAAGTTTACGTCCAGGCACGCGGAGACGGAGGAAGCGTCGTGTCAACGTGCCGTGGTGAAGTGGAAAAACACCAAAAGGAAGGGAGTGACGGGCAATGTATGGAAAGTTAAAAATGCCAGGATATCGATGGAAGGTGGTGGAGAGCATCGCCTGCTGTACGAGGTGACATGGCGAACAAGGTCTGATCTCGGAGGTGCGGATATTGGAGGAGACAAAAAAAAAATGTTACCGGCGACCGCATGCCTTGTTTCCCGTCGTGGTGGTGGTGAAGCCACTGCTGCTTCCTGTATTTCGTATTTCTCCCCCTTTAGCAAATAATGTGCGTGTGTGATGTCGTTCACATCTCTTCTCGCGTCAGTCTACACACCAATATCCGAGGTGCATGATTGACGAATCAGCCGGTGTTCAGCCGGTGTCACAGATGAGGGAGGTCAGACACGAGTTGCGCCAGATGTATTGTACAGACATGCCCCACCTCCCTCTGTCACTTCGCAGCAAGGGTTCATAGCCACCCCGTTCGCTAATCGACCGTTTTCCACCTCTATTTTCGAACCTTTTTTTCACCTCCGAGAGAGAACCGAACTCCAACCTGCCATGAGTACTATTTACTACGATTATGCCGTCAGTCACCCACTAATATGCCCCCAGGGCAACCACCGCTTGCTTCTCTGAAGCATAGAACCATAACAGTCACACCTCCAGCTGAGACCCAGGAACCGGGACGAAAAGCCCGGAACGGGTTGATAGGTGGGAAGCTCCCCGCCGCCGTAGTAGTCCTTCTGGAACCCCGCTTCCCCGGCGCTCGAAACCAGGCTTCCCCACGCGGAACTTCCCACCATATTTTTCGCGGCACAGATAGCCATGTCCCTGAACGGTGTGACACAAAAAAGCGGGGAGCACGGGTGAAAAAAGAATGTGCCGTATGTCGCGTAGGATAACACACCCCCTGGACCGACTTCCGACACCTGATTACCGTATACGACATGACGAAAGATAACACACCCCCTGGACCGATTTTCAATGCTCGATTCATCAACAGCAGAGAGAGTCGCAGCGTCGGAAACGGCGCCGTTGAAGCCGTCTGGTCGAGAGCTCTTCGCAAAAACACCGTTTCATCTATGCATGATTTTCGTCGTGGAGTAATCGAGCTTTGAAAATCGGTCCAGGGGGTGTGTTTTCTTTTGTCGTACACGGCAATCCACCACAAGAGAGGATGACGCAGTTGAACGATGAGGATTCCGGAACACCATCGGCGAGAGAGAGGGCCCATCGCCGCCGTCTTTAGTCACCGCCACCGTTTTTCTACCTCTATCGAACAGCCCAGCTAACCTCAACGAACGAAAAGAACGGCGGTTCACCGGTGCTCCCGGGGTCCCCTACTCACCGGGCGTTTTGGATGTGCTCGTATCTCACAGCAGCGAAGCCCTCCAGCGCCAGGGGAAACGCCGCCACGTCCCCGGCTGCGTAGATAGGCCGGGGGGGAGCAGCGCTACCGACATCAATGCCGCCGCCGCCCCCGTCTTCGGAAGGGGGCTGTACCGCCGTACGGCACTGGGAGTCAACCAGAATGCCGCCGTCCTTGCAGGTGGCAACGGCGAGCGCACGAGCCAACGACAGAGCGAGAAAAAATCAAAAATTGAGCTTGAAACACTTTGCAAGTGTGGGGAGCGTGTTCAGGCGTGCGGCGTGTGTGGTGTTCTTTCGTACAGTCTCTCCCGTACCGTAGACCTCGCAATATGCTGTGTAGACAACCGCAGCCCACGTCAGTCGAAGTAGAAGCCAACTCTTGATCAAAGAGTAGCTTCAAGGTATGGACTCAAGGTGACCCGCAAAATTGCTACCACCGGTTGGGTGTACACAAGTGTGTGGGGAGGGTTGGTATCTACAGAGATAAGCGTGTGTTATCTTGTGACGTGTTTGGTGGACCGCGCTGGGAACTTGTGACAACCGCGACCTATGATATGTCAATCGTAACCAGTA